GGAGCCCCGGGGGGCACCTGCAGCACCAGCCATGCTGGGCTGGGACGGGGGTTTGATCTTGATGACCATGCTCTGGTCAGCACTGAGCTGGACCTGCCTCTCCAGGACATACTGCTGGGGGGTGGGGTCCTGGCTGCCTCCAGCCCCGAGGGTGGGGTGTGCAGCACAGTCCCCGGGTGGGTCCAAGGAATCACTGGGTGGGTCCAAGGGGTCGCCAGGCGGGTCCAAGGGTCCCGGGGGCCGATTCACGAGGGAGTATTTCTTGCGCCAGGCAGGCCCATGGCTCGTGGGGAAGCCCCTACGGCTGGGACGAGGGTAGCGAGCCCCAAAGGCCCTGCTGCTGCTGTAGACGGGCGGCTGCCAGCGGCAAGAGGCTGAGGGGCCTGGGGCAGGGGCGTTGCCATGGAGGTTCTTGTAGTCGTCAATCAGACCTAGGAGACAGAATCGCAGGCTGACCGGAGGCTCAGAGCAAAATTAGCAACAGTCGGGGGGAGGGGGGAGCATCAGCTGACAAGACACCCCACAGACCCCCATCTCTCTCCTGAGCCCCTCCGCGGCGGAGACCCACTGACAGTTGAGCCTGATCCTCTTGGGCCTGTCTCTCTCCTGAGCCTTTTCCCATCAGATCTACTCCAGTCCTGTTTCTGGTTGCCCATCCTGATCATGCACCCCTGTGGCATCATGTTCCCTATTTTCTGGGAATATTATTCTGGGTCCACAATCCTTTGAAGCCATAGGTGGTGTGGCTCAGTGGATAGAGCGTGGAATGAAGGGTCCCGGGTTCGATTCCGGACAAGGGCACAAGCCTGGGTTGCAGGCATGATCCCCAGTAGGAAGCGTGCAGGAGGCACCAATCCATGATACTCTCTCATCACTGATGTTTCTACCTCTCTCTCCCTCTCCCTTCCGCTCTGAACTCAATAAAAACATATTAAAAAAAAAAAAAAGATCAGTGTCTCTCAGCATGAAAAGACCAGCAAGGCCCACACTGCATACCTCGGCCCTCTGGCTGCCCGCGGAGGGGGAGGGGGAGGGGCGACACAGGACAACGGGTGCGATGACCGACAGCGCTGGGCACGCAGCACTTGACAAGAATGTCACAGCGCCCTCCTCGGGAGGCGAGGCCTGGCCCGCGGGGAGAACGCGGGGCAGGGGCTGACGACCATCACGGCCTTTCCAAGGAGCCCCCCGACAACTGTCCTCGCAGGACGCCGCCAGGGCTGCGGGCATTTCAGCCCAACGAGCAGCCAGCCCCCAGCCCCCAGCCCCGGGCACCACACCCTCCCAGGCCCAAAGCTGCGTCCACACCTGGGGACACCTCGGGGCAGTGGCCCCCACGGGCCAGCCCACCGAGACTCTCGCATACGCGCGTCCCAGGTCCTCAGTCTTCTTTGTGGAAATAACGGGGGGTGGGGGGCACAGTTTAAGTATAAAAAGCCCGATTGGGTCTAGAATTTGAAAAGTTTGGAAGCTGAGGCCTGGCGTCTGGGTCTGGCATATGTGATGTGAAGGCGCGTG